TACGTTCAAATCACGCTGAAACACCGGTTCTCGTTCGATCACCGAAGTTAAGCATCGTAGAGCCAGGTCAGTACTTAGATGGGGGACCGCTTGGGAACACCTGGTACTGTAAGCCCCCAAAGTCCAACCCTTACCTCACAGTCGGTGGGGGGTGTAAAACGTTAGTGTCAGAGCTATGCCGCCCGGAACTTCGTTCCTGGTAGGGCCACTCAAGGCGGACAGGTCTGACACACACGCCGGCTAACAAGGACTCTGGTGAAAATCCAAGGAGCGTCTGCATCGGTAACCGGTGGCTTCTGGTCGTTCCTGTCTCTGTGTCTGTGGGAACCCCGCGGCAAGCAAGAACGTTATTCGAATAGGCCTGGGTACCCTACTTCTGTAATTTATCCCAACAATCTTCTTCTCATAACAGGAAGAAGCCGGCTCAATCCGCCCAGGGTGAATGCCGCATCAGTACAGTAGTAATATGTCAACGTCGGACGTTTCGGTCTAATAAACCATCTTCAGGACATATTCATATTGATAATGTTATAATTTATGAATATGAATATATATATATATATTTTAAGCGTTTCACCACAAGCAAGGCGGGAAGCCACTAGGATGCAAGGTGTTACAGGAAATAGCAAGATCAGATAGGAGTGATAGAAGAAAGGATGAGGGTAGTGGATAGATCAAGGCAACTGGAGTTGTCGATTGACATTACACTTGAATAGCTGGAGATTATAGCTCGCAGGAGAAGGGAAGGGAGTTCCACAGGCGAGAGGTGCGAGACATGAAGCTATTAGAGTAGAAGAGACGGCTACATTTAGAAGTTTCGACAGTGAAGGGGTGAGAGCGGGATGCCAGCCTCGTAGGGCGCTGGAACTCATGACGTCTGGGAACCAGCGAATGCAGCTCCTCGGAGCAATTTCCATGAAAGTATTTGTAGAATAGACAGAGGGAGGCGACGGCGCGTCTGTGAGAAAGTGACTGTAGACGAGACGCCAGGGCAGGGCCAACCATATTGCATATCCGCCTCTGGAGCCTATCAAGAACCCCTGAGGCAAACAGAAGGGGCGCCTGACCATATGGCAGCAATACTCCATGCAAGGGCGAATTGTGGATTTGTATATCTGGAGGATCGACTCAGGGGAGAAAAACTTCCTAAAGCGCGGCTCAGGGAGCCAACTTTCCTCGCAGTGGACGAGGCAATTGACTCGATGTATTTATTCCATCTCAGGTTAGCAGTCAACGTGAGACCGAGAAGCCGCAGAGTTGCTCTCGAGAAGTTGAGCGTCAGACATTCTAATGGAGGGAAGGGAAGGCTCTCTGTGGTGATTAATAGAGAGCAGTTTTGTCTTCGAAGCGTTGAAGTTGACCAGCCAATTCATGCCCAATTCACAATCGATTGGAGGTCCTTTTCGAGACGCACGGCAAGGTGGGTTTTGTCAGCGAGACTAGATTTGTTTTTGAGGCAGGAATAAATTGTGGTGACATCCGCGTAGATGCCTACTTGGGAAGTTACGGCGTCGGGAAGGTCATTTATGTAGATAAGGAATAGAATGGGGCCTAGGATGGAGCCTTGAGGGACACCTGCGTTCGTGGCATAGGAACTGGAGGAGAATCCGTTGAGAACGACCTTCAGTTCTCGGTTTGACAGGAATGATTTTATTAGGTTATATAATCGACCCGTAGTGCCATAACCCTGGAGCTTGCGCAGAAGGCCGTCATGCCAAACCCTATCAAATGCTTTGGAGATGTCAAGTGCCACGGCTCGGGCTTCCCCATTATTTTGGAGAGCTCGGTAGACTGTTTCAGTGATGGCTGTAAGCACATCGGCTGTAGATCGGGCAAAGCGGAAAATATATTGCTTGCCAGAGAGCAGATTATGGGATGTGAGGTGGTTAACCACCCCGGTATTGATTAGAGCTTCGAAGACTTTGCCGAAGAGGGGAAGGAAACTAATAGGACGGTAGTTGGAAGACAGGAACGATCGAAGAGGACTTCGAGCAGTCAGGAAAACAAGATTCCTTGAGGCAGTAGTTGTATAGTTTCGAAAGGGCGGGCGCCAGTTCAGGCGCGCATTTCTTCAAGACAATGGCTGGTATCCCGTCACCGCCACTAGCTTTGTTGGGATCTAAATTAGAGATAACGCCCAGTACCAAAGATGGGGTTATGTTTAACCCACTCAATATGGCCTCAGTTCTAAGAGGAAAGTCGGGTATGGGTACACCGGAAGAGTCGAGTGTAGAGCTGAATGAAAATTTCCGAGCAAAGCATTCGGCTTTATCGGTAGAGGAGGTCAGGACTTCGAACTGGTTAAATAAAGGAGGTATAGAGGGTCTCCAATACACTTTTGCAGAGAGGCCAATAATCTTTGGAGCCAAATTTGCGAGATGCAATACGTTCCTTCATTCGAGCCGCAAATAGTGACTTAGCATCGTTGAGGACACGCTTACATTCGTTACGAGCGGAGGTAAAGAGACGTCTATTGCAGTCAGACATGTCGCTAAGGTATAGGTGGAAGTAGTGGTTCCTATGGGCGATGGCGGCTGAGCAAGCAGCGGAAAACCAGGGGGAGGAGCGCGACTTGACCCTATATTTCCTTGATGGGATGAAAGCGTCGATTCCAGCTTTAACCCAGGAAGAGACCTCAGAAGCACATTCTTGGACGGGGAGCTTAAAGACTCCATCCCAGGGGACATCGCGGAGGAAATCACGGAACGCGTCCCAGTCAGCTCGTTGATAATAGAACGAAGTTCTAGTGGTAGGAGATGTTAACCGATACGACTGAATGGTCAGAGTTACCAAAAGGGCAGAGTTGCGAGGCACTGCAGGATTCGGGGATGGAGGTAAAGCACAGGTCGAGTAGAGAGGCTTTACCTTCCCGGTTGAAAACAAAACGAGTGGGGAAGTTAACTATCTGTGTGAGGGAATGGGAGATTGAAATGGGAGATTGAATGCCTGCATGGTCAGTATTAGCATTCTTAAGCCACAAGGTGTGATGGGCGTTAAAGTCTCCAAACACAAAAATGTGAGCAAACGGGTGGAGGGAGAGAGCCTTGTCTATGCTGTCAGAAATGCTATCAAGTATCTCACAGTCTTGAGAGGGTGGAGAGCGGTAAAGGAAGAAGAGATAGCTTACCGCATTGAGGAGAGAGAGTCGGAGACACATGTATGACTGGTCAGGCGATTCGAGAGAGGACTCTCTGGCCAGAGATGTCTACTCATGGGACGTCTAAACCTCGTATGTTTACTTTAATTTCGGGAGAATATAAAGACAATATTGTCCAACATTTGTATATTATTATTAAGATGATCCTTGATCTAACCTTTCAGTTCACATGAGCCATCTTCAGAGTGGCTATATGGAAATTTAAACAAATATATTCACCATCAAAGATGATATTCTGTTATGTTGACATAGAAGTTTGCTATGCGACGATAACGGTCGCGGAATAGCAGGCGCAGGTCGTAAATTCATGATACGGTTCAATGACGTCATACCACGTAAGAAACCAAAGTATTAACAAGAGAATCATATGTCTAGATGCACTGTAATGTGTTCTGACGAGTTTGAAATGGAATTTTGATGAGTGTGGGTTGCTTTGTTTTAGTGTAGATGGCATTCAATATTTGGAGACTCTTTTTACTGTGTGTATGTGTGAGTATTGTTGTGTTATCAACTAATATCTGTCTAATATTATGTACATGGCTAGGTTTTTCTAAGGAATGTTGTTTGATAGAACTAAGATCACAAATATGACAGGTAAGTCTACAGGAGAGTGTAGTTGTAGTAAAACCAAAATATGTAGCCGGTTTATTATTAGCATCAGAGATCCACTCTCTTAACGGGCATGTAAACTTTGAATACAAAATTAATAATTATTACTAAACTAGCAGTAGAGCCCGGCGTTGCCCGGGGATGTAACAGTAAGAGATAGGTCAAGTATCGACCATCAGACTGAAAAATAAAATTGACAAAGATTATTGTTTAAGGTTGACGGACACGCATGTCTTAATAATATTTTTTGTTGTTGTTTTTTTTTTTTGTTTTCAATCGTTATCAGTCTACCGATTGAATAGAATTTTATTATAAACAATTGTCTTGTAAATGGAAATTTTAAAGCATTCTGAATGTAAAAATAAAGAAAAAGTGTGCAAGACAATAAGAAACACTACCTGCCAAAAAAAAAGTTTTGTTGAAATAGGTTGAAAAATGTAGGAAATCCGAACCCATATATAAATGAACACACACACAAACAACCTGGGTTTTATAATAATTATGATATGAGTTGTCCCCCTTTCATTCTCGTGACAGCGATACCTCTTAATCGTGTTTTCAAATTGATTTCGTGCAAAAACAATTGTGTTTTTCCAATTTTGGGCGCTGTCAGAACCACCGAAGGTAATTTTTCGTAGTCCTGTGAAGTTTTGTTAAAATCGGTTGAAAAATGTAGGAAATCCGATCCAATATATAAACGTACAGACACACACACACACAACCTTGGTTTTATAATAAGTATGATACGGTAAAAGAAGGTTTATTCTTCAACTGGTTTTCATAGATAACACATTACCAGCAAATTTGGAGTAACAGTTTAAAACATGTGTAAGATTTTTTTTTTCAAAATAAGAAGTATATATTTTAATATACATATTTGTTTTTCCTCGCATTTATTTCAAAATACATAACGGCTGCAAATCAGCGTGCATTTATTTATTTATTTACCATGAAGTCATGTGACATGTATAACCTCTTCACCTTCAAGTAATTGTTTATAAAGAAGTTCTAATGTAGTGTAGGAAAGTGTAAAAATATTTGATGTGTTTTGCATGTTTAGATTTATTTAATAATGTTGTTATAATGTATTATAAATGTTTATTTTTCACACACATAATAGTTGGAATATAATATGCAAGTGTTTGTTTATATACGCGGATAGATATAAGAATGGATATCGAAAACTGATATTGAATTTCCTATTAAAAATGTGGTAAAAACAGAAAAACGACCCTAGCTTGTCTAATTTTGATGAAATTTGGCACTGCACTCGGCTGGGGTTCAAAGAACTTTATTCTCCTAAATTGGTTGGAGTATTAAGTATCATTCAAGCTGTATCTCGGGAAC